CTCTGCAAGTGCAGCCTCCACACAGGCAGCTGTGCCTTGTCTCTGCTTTCCTGAGCCTGTCACCTGCCTGTGAGCATTCCCTGATGATCTGAGCACATGAGGCTGAGGCTGGGTTATTGGTGTGTGGGTGACAGACATTATTTCAACACAAAGCCAGCACAACCAGATCAGTCACAGGGTTTTATTCAAGGCCTGGATTACATCATCTTTACCCGTATTCATATTATGGATCCAGGCAGCAGGGCACATTGTTTATCCTCACCCAGCAGCCAGCACTTTTGATCCCTTGACAGAATGAGCCAAAGTGCAAAGAAGTGGATGTACCTCTGGCTCCACACTAGCCATGCAAGCACCCCACACCTCTCCCATGCATGTGTTCATCCTCAGCCCAGAGAGCATCTGAAGCATGAACCAAGCTCCTGCCTGCCATCCCTTCTGCTCTATGTGCCCTGCTGTGGCATTGCATTTCCCAGCTCATGGATGGCCCTGTTCTCCAGCACCTTTACCTTCCCCTCTCCTGGCTGCAGCACGCAGGCCACCATAGCCCTGGCTACCATTTCCACAGGCACTGAGTAAGCAGTGGGGAACAGCCGAGCCACAGCACCCAAGAACTGCTGGGCTATCCACTCCATGGGCCGGGACTCCTGGCGCTTGCACAGCAGCACCCTGCAGAGCAAGGAGGTGAGGTGGGTCAGTATGAAACAATGCAGGGTGAAAGCTAGAGACTGAGTTCTCCAGCTGCACCAAGGCCCAGACAAGCTCCCTGAACTGACGTGGGCTTTGGCAGGGTCATGGAACATGACAGAGCTGAGCCCTTGGACACTAAACTCCTTTCCCCACTGTGCTGACAAAAGCAGAATTCCAGTTCTCCTAGGTGGCAAGAGCACAGTACACCTGAAAGGACACAGGTGAGTGTTCCCTCTGCTTAAGGTCAAGGTCCATCTGGAGCTAAGCTCTGACCTATGTGCCTCAACCTGTGTTTTTAAGCCCAAGGCTCCTGTCCTTGCATGGCACATGGCACTAGCATTGGAATGGGCCATAGGAAACTGCAGAGCTTGCTCCCTGCAGCACTGGGAAGCAGTCTGCTCATCCATGAGCTGCATTTGCAGCTGCTGGCATTCTCCACTTCCATCCCAAGCCCTGCCCTGACGTGTCCTTCCTCTTCCTCCATCTCCCAGTGAAGCACTTCCCTGCTGCCCTGGTAACCCTCCACCCTGTGCCCTCCCTCCTCCACCACTACTCACGCTGGCCGGAGAATGGTACAGTGATCAAAACCAACAGCCTGGACCAGGTTTTCCACTTCTCCCTGTCAGAGCAGCCAGGCAGGATGAAAGGAGACAAGGATGACTGCAAGCACCATCCCTGCCACCCCATGAACAGGCAGGAAAGGGCTGCTGAGCCAAGGGCAGGATGGCACTAACGCCAGCGTGAGGCTGGAACAAGCCAGGCATGGATCAGCTCTCCAGGCCAGGCAGCCGGGGCGAGGGCCCATGGTGGACACAGATCACAGGTCAGCAGTGTGCCCTTGCAACCATCACACTGAACTGCAACAGGCTGCTCCGGAGAGCATCTGGACTCAGCATCCAGCCTGGGGATGGATGCAGGCAGCACTGGCAGGCAGCTCGGAGTCCAGCAGGCTTTGGGAGCTGCAGCACACAACATATGGAGAAAAAAGTGTTTGCGATGGGTGTGGCCCTCCTTGGGGAGCCTGCGGGCTTTCCATCGCGGGATAGTTCATGTCTCACCTGGACACAGCCCTGAGCCTCCCCACACAGCTGTGAAGCCATCCCAGCTTAAGGCCAGGGAACTGTTGTTGGGCTGGACAACCCCAGCAGATGTTTCTAGAGTTTTTGGAGGGAGGCAGACGTTGCATGCAGGTGTTGTGCTGCTTTATAAGAAGGAGTTGCGTAGCTGTCCAGCCGGGCCCTTCCCTTGTCCTGCAGCAGCAGGACTCCCAGAGCCATTTGCATCTCTAAACCTCAGCTCCTGCTTGTTTCCCGAGCATCCCGGTATCCCGTGACTCCTGCACGAGCATCAGGAGCCCACCCCAGCAGCCCCCTCACCTTCACACGGAGGTAGAGGAAGCGGCTCTGTGGGTTTGCCCCCCGGGAGGACTGCAGGACAAAGTGTTTGCAGCCCCCTGCCCACGCCAGCTCTGCTGCCTGCGCCACATAGTCCCGATCCACACGGACAAAGCCATCCTGTGGGGGGAAGGAGGGTCGGTGGGGCAGGGAGTGGGCAGGGGAGGAACAAGCGGGAACCCTGCTCGCCGGGGGTCAGGGGGTCTCCACTCACTGCGCCAGCCTTGGCCCTGGTAGTGCCCAGGCAGCAGAAGCCCACGTCGTGTCCCTGGAAGGCGGCGGCGTGCTCGCCCAGCCGCTCGAAGTCCACCACCACCTGCTCCTGCGGGGAGGCCGAGGGTCAACGCCTCCGGCCCGGTCCCGCCACCACGGCCAGCCCTGTACCCGGCCCGGCCCCGCCACCACGGCCAGCCCTGTACCCGGCCCGTGCACCACGGCCAGCCCTGTACCCGGCCCGCGCACCACGGCCGCCGCCGCCGCCTCGCCCAGGCTCAGCCGGCGCCGCCCGATCAGCGTGACCCGGGCGAAGGCCCGCCGGGCCAGCAGCTCCCGCAGCAGCACCCGGCCCGTCTCCCCGGAGGCGCCCAGCACGAAGCAGCTCCTGCCGCCGCCGCCCGCCCCTGATGATCTGAGAGCCGCGGGCGGACGCGACCCGGGGCTGTTGCCGGGGCCCGGGCGGGACTGCTGGGCGGGGGCAGCCCCGGGGAGCCCCTCTCAGCCCGGCCGCTGCGCCCAGCGCGCAGGGAAGGTGCCCCTTGGCCTGTCCCCGCCGGATATCCCTGCAGAGCCGAACACCCCGAGGATCCCTGTGCCAGCCCCGCTCAGGCGGAGGGGATGTGAGCTGGAGGGATGCTCGGAGGGGTCTGTGACCTCTCCGGCGGCTCCTCTCCAAACCCCGCTGGGTTCAGTGCTCGGCAGCTCTGTCCCCTGGGTCGGAGGTGGGTCACTCCCCAGCCTTGCAGTGACTCCAGTGTGAAGCCTTGCAGTGACTCCCTGGTGCCCGAAGAGCAAGAAGATGAAGCCCACTTCCTTAGGAACTCTCGCTGAGCAGGTCCTGGGATGTGCTGGCAAGCACAGACCCCTGCTGAGGACACTGTGCATTGTCCCTCTGACAGGGACGACGCCAATCCTCAGCGGGGCAGTCCCGGTCCCACCGGGACATGGCTCTGGAGCAGGCAGGCGGGCACCCCGCGGCTCTGTGCAGCCACTCCCGTGGGCAGCATCAAGGGGCCCCGCGGCACCACAATCCCGTTTGTCCTGATTCCTGGGGAGGGAGGTGCAGAGGCCTGAATGGCTGCTGTCGGGATCAACCAGGTGGTTTTCCAGCCTGGTGTGTCTGTCAAGTGATCTCCTTGGCCGAGGGCTGAGGATGAATCCCAGGTGCACGTGCCATTTGCGAGGCAGGACGCGCGTCATGACAGTCACCGGGTTAATGGCTGGCATCCCGCTCCACCTGCCAGAGTGCCGCCGGCACCCACGGCCGTGCCCTCCTCATTGGGCTCTGCTCCCCAGCCACAGGCAGACCCAGGTGGGTGAATGAGGGGGAGGCTGGAGCATACCAGGGCTCGGGGGTACTGGGATGGAGGCTTGAGAGTAGCAGGGGAACAGTACAGTGCAACAGAAGCACAGGCAGCGAAGTATATGGGGCACATGTGGTGTGTTAGAGAGTATGGTGTGTTCTAGGGTTTCATGGTACAGTGGGGATACCACTGGGGAGGATGGGATCAGGACGCATGGGGTCATGCTCCCACCACTCATGGTGTGCTTCTCCTCCACGGCAGGGCTCTGGGGGAGGCCAGCCAGTTGCCAGGGTGCCCGCTTTCCCAGTGGCATGGAGACATGGTCCCGGCGCAGCGCTGCCTTCGACTGCGTGCCCCAGCCGGCAGCCTGCTGCCCTGACTGGATGGCGGAGCTCCCCGACGCCCTGCCCCTCTCCCACCTCTCCATCCCTGGCACCCACGACTCCCTCAGCCTGTTCGGTGGCCGGCGCCTGCGGTGCCAGAGCTGGGGCCTGGAGGCCCAGCTGGCAGCCGGCATCCGCTTCCTGGATGTGCGCTGCAAGCTGTCGCGGGGAGAGCTCCGCATCTACCACCTCTGCACCTTCCAGCGGGCCAGCCTGCGCGGCGTCCTGCGCCGCACCCTGCGCTTCCTCCGCGCCCACCCCGGCGAGGCCGTGCTGATGCGCATCAAGGAGGAGCTGCCCATCTTCTCCCGGCCCGGCTTCGCTGCCCAGCTGCACCGCTGCCTGCTGGAAGAGGGACAGGGCTGCGTGTGGTGCCGGGAGGAGGTGCCCACGCTGGGCCAGGTGCGTGGGAAGATAGTGGTGCTGGAGGCGCTGGCGCGGGAGGTGCTGGGCATCTCCTACGAGCAGCTGAGCATCAGCGACGCCTGGAACGTGCTCTCACTGGAGCGCAAGTGGGCCCGGGTGCGGCGGCACCTGGAGAAGGCGGCCGGCGGAGACCCCAGCACCATGTACCTCACCTTCTGCTCCGGCAATGGGCTCTTCACCTGCCCAGAGGAGGTGGCCCGCTTTGTGAATCCCCGCTGCTGCCAGCACCTACGGCGCCGGGGCGGGCAGCCCGTGCGCTGGGGGGTGGTCATTATGGACTTCCCTGGCGCCGGCCTTCTGCGGCTCATCGTGGAGAGCAATGGACAGGGCACAGCGGGCCCCGGCACCCCCACGGCACCGTCCCGGCACCGCCGACAGGACAGACGCCGCAGGCAGCACAGCTCCGCGCGCTGCCCGCGCCGCTGTCCCTCGGGGAGGACACTGCTCCCGGCCCCGCGCCTCCGCCGAAGGGCCTCAGTGCCTGGAGGGCAAAAGCGGGTTTCTAGGACTCGCAGAGCACCGGGAAGCCTTCGTGTGACGATGGTGTGACAGCCGCAGAGGCAGCAGAGGAGGGCCGGAGCCGGAGCCGGGCAGCCCGGGGAGCTGCGCCCTGCCCTGAGAAACCAGGTACGGTGCCGGGACGGGGCTGGGCCACCTGAGTCCCACAGGCCAGCAGGGGTGGGTGGAAGTAGAACGTCCTGCCTCACCTCCCGTTGGGCCAGTGAGTCCTTCCGAAATGCCTCTCTGCAAAATAGTCCTTTTCCTTAAGGGTAAATAAAAATAAAAAGAAGCTAGGAAAGCATTGCCGATGTTGCCTTGCCATTTCTTGTCAGAGAAGTGGAGAAAAGACCTTTTGCCTTTGCTGCTTAGATGTGAAGGAGCTTGTACCCTTCTGCTCATGGATGAAGTACTGTTAAATTGTTGTCAGTGACCATTTTGCTCTTAAAGCAGAGCTGTAAGAGGTCACAGGAGTAAGAATTAATTTCAAAGGTAACAGCAAGTAGCTAGGAACATCCTTCCCCTCATTATTTTAGCTTTTGCTTCTTTCTTGCAGGGGTTTTCCCCAGAAGTCAGGACTCTTAGGCAGAGCCAGCTTCAGCAAGGGCCGCCCACCCTGTGCATGGAGCGCTGGATGGCCACAGAGGCAGTGATTCAGATGGAGCTACCCTGTCCCTGGGGTCACACACCAAGGGATGCTGCACTGGGCAGAGCCCAGCAGTTTGCAACATCTGGGGCAGTACAGACAGGGCACATTGTAGATCTACAAAAGCAAGGTGGTTGAGGCATAAAAAAGACTTTAAAACGTGCTGTGCCAGTGCCTACCCTATCTGTAGTTAATAAATCACTAATCCAAATAGACAACAAAATAACTCCTTGGAGCAGAAAGGTAACCAAGATCCCAGGGGAGAAATCATCACCCAGGAGAGTGCCTGCTGCATCCCTGGCTGCAGCTGAGCCAGACAGGCTGTGTGCTGAAGCAGGGAGGTGAGAAAGAGGGAGGAACTTTTAAAAGAGGAAAGCTCAGCCCTGGCCTGCCAGAAGGGAAGAATGCCCTCAAAGTTGCTTCTTTCTCAGGTGAAACACAGCTGGGCACAGCTGGAGGAGATGCCACAGGATTTCCTGGCCAGAGGAGAGGATGTCTTTTGCTGTGCAGGGGCTAGCCCTGACTCGAGACACGGCTCTTGGTGCTGAGCCTGTTCATCTGCTGCCCAGGGAGGGGAGCAGGCAATAGCACACAGTGGGTGGCAGAGGTGACAGGCAGAGGAATCTGGCTCTGGGTTTGCTGTGTGAGATGGTTGAAATCTGTGCATTAAACCAGACATACTACAAAAGCACTGGTGGTGTCCAGGGTGAGGGTGGCCTGGTTCAATGGCTACCAGTGTCTCCTGTGCCTGGGCTGCCCCCACACCAAGCCAGTGTGGCTGGTACCACTGTCCTGTCAGGAGGATGGGTTCTGCTGGGGCAGGGCCAGGTGAGTCAGTGGCTTGTCTCAGCATTCCAGGGATGCACAGTGCCATGGAGAGGCAGGCAGGGCAGAAGCAGAGCAATCACAGTTCCTAGGAGCTGTGGGCTGGGTGGTTTGGCTGTCACTCAGGGCTGCCCCTGGATGTGGCACATCCCTGCAGCTGCACCCCAGCAGTCTGAACCCACCCTGTGCCTCAGCTCGCTGGCAGGGCAGAGGTGCTGTCTGGGATTCCCTGGTGGGCAGAGTCACTTGTTTACTCCCTGTCACTCAAGCAGTGAGATAATGTTGGTGTTATCTGTGCCCCAGGCATCCTGTTTGGCAAACCCTTATCTGTGCCGTGCTCACGTGGCTGCTGCCAGGTGCCAGGGAGCTGGCAGGCAGCACGGGCAGGGGTACCTGTGTGGCAGTGATGCCCAGTGAAAAGGCTCTCCAGCACCAGCTTTGCAGTGAAAGGCAGGAGGCAGAGAACTGTCCTACAGCTGAGGTCAAATAAACATCTCTGAGAGGGTCTGGATAGGGTGGACAGGAGCGATTTGCCCAAAACTACCCCTGTGTTCCACAGCCAGGGCTGTCCCAGTGCCTCAAGGTCCCTGTGGGTGGGGGGTACGGGGTACTTGCCCCTGAACTTCTGGTCCTGGCTAATCCTGGCAATCATCTCAGTCCCTCCAAGCCAGGGTAGCACCCTTAATGTGTCTCCCTGTGTCCAAACGCTTTGAAATTGTGAGAAAGATTTTATCAGCTGCTGCTGGAGGCGGGGCAGCAGCCGATAAAAGCGTGGAGGAGGAGGCTCCGGCTGCCGGAGCTGTGCTCTGGCAGACTTGCCCAAGGGCACCCTGCAGCTCAGAGATACCCTTTGGGTCACACACTTCCTGGGGGCCTGTGGAGGAAGGGAATCTCCTGCCCGCGCTCAGGAGATGCCTCTAAAGTCTCAGGCAGAGCCCGTGTCCCCAGGGAGGAGCGGAGGGATGGCAGCAGCGGGGCTGCTCCCAGGCGTGTGTGTCCTCGCCGGTGCCACCCCATAGCCCTGACGGGCGGGATCGGGTACCTCCAGGGGGCTGTTGAGCCCTCCCCGGGGCGAGCGGGGCTCCCAGGAAGGTGCCCGCCGTATCGCGGGCAGCAGCCGGGCAGTGCCGGGTGACTCGGTTCCTCTGCGGTTTGCGGAGACATTGCACAAGGAGGGGAACAGGCTGTGCCAGCCTGGCGCCGGAGCCTCTGCCCTAAACAACGCGCGGCCGTGCCCCTTCCCCAGGGCAGAGCCGGCGGCACGGCTCTACGGCACTGAGAGCATCGCCCCGACTGGTGCTCAGCACTGGGGCACAGCAAAGGAGGCACTTCTCCATTCCTGTGCCTGGGTCCAGAGGGACAGGGCGGAGGTGACACAGGAAAGTGTATTCGTACCTGCTCCATTGAGCCCATGCTGAGCAAAGCCCTAGCTGGCAGCTTGCCTTGTGTCCTCAGAGGGATGGCTGGGGGTAGGATGCACCATCCTGACACCGGGGAAATCCCCACAGTGCTCAGGCCCTTCCTTGGTGAGCAGAGCAACAGGAACCCAGCATGAGGATGCCCTGCAGCATCCTGAATCCCTGTCAGGGAAGCCAACCTGAGATGTGGAAGGGCTCCTGGTGATTAACCAGCTCCCAGCAGAACTGATTCTGGTCTTCTTTCCCTCCTACCATGTGTACCTTTTTCTACTACCTGCAAAGCAAGCCTCCAACATGCCACATATCGATCCTGCCATGTAGGACAGGCATGGGGCACCTGCCTCCATACAGAGATCCAACTTGGTCACGTACTGTCTTTGCAGCAGCAACAGCCTCTGCATCTCAGACACCTTGATTCTATTTTTAAAGCAATACCAACAACTATTTGTAATTACAAAAATAAAGGTGGGAGTATTTTTTTCTACCGCTCTGCCCTACCATGTTGGGTTCAAGCAGAAGTGAAACTGGCAGGGGCACAGCCTGCTCTGCCCTGGGGCTGTGTACCCATGAACATCCCTCTGAGTCCCAGAAGTGTCTCACCAGTAGGAGAGGCAGCTCCTGCCCTGCCCAGGTGACCCTCAGCACTTGGCGCTGGTCTCCTCCCCAGCAGCTGCCCCTCAGCCTCTCTGCCTGCCTGGCTGCTCCTTCCCTTCCCATAACTGACTATTCGTGGCAGAGGAGCTGCTAGAAAGCAAGTGCTCCTGAATTACTGGACATATAGATTCATCAGTTCCATAAAAAGAGACAACCGCATTAAAACATTTTTCAAGGAAGATATCCAGAGACAGGAAACAAGGTTCATTTATATTGGCCAATGATAAAGTAATTGTAGTGGGTTATGGCTCTTGAGGAATGGGTTCCTCCTTTTGTCTAGAATGTCCTGGTGGAGCAGCACCAATTTCTTTGGAACTGGAAAATACATGTGACCTTCATGGCTCTTGTTTGGCTTTAGCTGGAAGTGAGCTGAGTAATTTCTGCAGAAAACCTGGCCAAGGCAATTCTACTTATGAGCAGGATAGAGTAAGAAAAGATTTATAATTATTATAATGATCCAAGGGGCGGTGGACACAATTAGACATGTTCCTGAAACACTGGTGGAAGTTCCTAAAGGATGTTAGTAAGTCAGGGGGAAGTTCCTCTGGCATATTCCTGGACCTTTTTCATAAAGACTTAAAGGCAAAGACAGAAAAATACATTGTGTAACTGTTTATAAATGGTGTATGAAGATTCACAGCCAGAGCAAAATGCCTGCATGTGAGGAGAGCATCTGGCACAGGAGTTGGGAGATTGTGAGCCACTTTCCTACTCAGCCTACGAGGGACCTCAGCACACCTCAGCCTCCTCTGTCCTCCACCACTGCAGGTGCTGCCACATGGACACAGTGGGTCAGAGAGGTCTCGGTGCTCTAGGCATCAGGGACTGGGGCTGAACATTTTTCAGGGGGCCCTTCTCCTCCTTCTGGGGTGCTCGGGCAAGACTGGCTTGTTGTGGGTCACCTCCTGTGGCTGTCATGTCCCTATGGCAGTGGGGATGCAGCCAACTCCCATGCCATGGGGCTGCTGCCAAGTGAGGTCCATGAGGACCGTGGCCAGTGCTGACCCCATTGTTTGCCTCCAACCCCGGGCTCAGAGAAGGGTTTCTTGGGGCTGGAGAGCCGTGTGGCGGGGGAGGCGGGGGTGTGGGGCAGGATGTGGGCTGGCAGCGGGGCTGGGATGGGAGGGGAAGAGGCCGGGGGCAGGGAGATGTGCTGCACGCTCAGAGGAAGCGTGAGCAGCACTGCGCACCGAGGACAGCTGCCACGGGCTGGGCACGGTGCAGCCGCGGCACCAGCATGGTAAGTTCTGCTCCTTTCCTTGGGGATGACTGAGCGTCTGCCTAGACAAGGGAATTAGGGGAGGGCAGGGCTGTGGGCAGGCCCTGACAGGAACCACAGCTGGGGGCTGTGGGACACACGCAGGCTGCCCTGGGGACACCCTGCCCGAGCGACCCCAGGGTCATGGGACACTGCCAGGCACACAGGGCACAGCGACTGCAGAGGTAGATGCCAGCCCTGGCTGGGCAGGAAGGGGCTGGGGGGACACAGGACTTAAGACTCCCCAGGAGTGAAGTGCTTCCTCTGAGCGCCTCACTGCAAGGGGCCCTTCCTGCAGCAGAGCTGTACCTGGCTGGGAGCACCGTGTGTGCCTGAGTGCCAGTGCCACAAGCAACTGCCCTTGTGTGAGTCAGGGCTGCCTGGCAGCAGTGTGGGTGCACGTGTGAACCCCTTAGGATGTGCATGCTCATGTCTCCCTCTCTGTCAGGGCACTGCTGTGGGACTGCAGTCTGCTGGGACGACATGGACTCTGGGCTCTCCTGGCACCTACCTGGGCATCGCTGCCATCACATGGGGTAAGCCACCCATCATCCACTCAGTAAGCCCAGTGTGACCCTGCTGCCAAGGAGTCTGCAGGTCTGAGAAACTGGAGAAATGTAGCATTGTTATTTTGGGGGCTCATCAGCCCATCCCCAGGGCTGGATCCCTCTGGGCTGGGAGGGGGCTGTCTCTGCTTGTGCCAGCTCCCTCCACGCAGACTGTGTTCCCCCAGGAAGGGCCAGGCCATGACTGAGGTCCCTGCAGGATGCTTGGTTCCCCAAATGCAGCGTGGCAGCTGGTACTGTGAACTGTACTGTGAACTGGGGAAAGGCAGGGGAGCTCTACCCACTGCCTACACCCATGCTCGTGCTGGGGAGCTGGGCATGGATGGAGTCACAGCACCCATGGGTGCAACGGTTCATAGCACAGCTGGGGCAGAACCACACAGAATTACAGCTGCTAATTGACATCAGCAGTATAGAAACTAACTTGGTTTTACTGCCTGTAGGGTATTTCCTTCACATGCTGGCATTGCACAGAGCAAAACCTACTGGTGCCTGCTCTGTCCCTGGAAATCCTCTGTGAGCTGAAATATTTTCCTAAGAACCTTAGTGACTGAGCTAAGGAACAGAGATGAGGTAAGTGCAGTGTCAGGAGGAGGCTGAGATTTGGCTGTGAGAGAAAACAAAAAGACAAAGGCACCTCAGCTGCGGAGGGTGCTGAGCCACCCTGGGAAGAGATATCAGGGCTGCCATAGGAGCCAAGGGGTCAAAACACAGGAAAACAGCACTCATTTGGGGGCTCAGCACCAGGTGGGCAGGGAGAGGCAGCATAAGACTGGGGAGATGAGCTGTGCCATAGAGAGGGTGTAACTGGTGGAGCTGGAGGAAAGAGGTAGGAGAGCATGGGGAGGACAGACATGGAGCAGATGTCAAACTTTGGCCCTTCTCAGTTTGGGGATGGGCTGTGTGAGGGTAGCAGGCAGCTGCCTTGAGCCTTGCTGGGGAGCAGCAGGGGCCAGGAGGAGGTTGGTGGGAGCTGTGGATGGGGGAGGCTCCCAGAAGGTGCCCTGAGTTCCTGTCTGCAGCCCCAAATTCCCGAAGGGTAAAGAGGGAACCACACTTTCCCCAGCTTCAGTTCTGTTGAACAAAGAAAATAGTTTGCTCTTTCACAAGAAAAACCAGACAAATTATGGGAAATTACTTACAAAAATGTATAACAATGGACCAAAGTACAGCCCTAATTAGACTTTAGAAGACGTGTATTTGCATCTAATCTGCAGATCTTTGCCCGGATCTTTGCACAACTGCAGTGTGATAAAATGCTCCCCTGAGATACAGTGTAAGCTAGGCTGGTTGTTTGGAGCAGACTTTGATCCTCATCTTGCTTTCTGCACAGATGGAGATATGATATTCCAACATCACTTCCTGCAGTTGTGGAGATTGGAGGAAGCTTCTTTCTGTGGCTAAAACCCTTTGATTGCATAAAGTTGTGGTGTGAAATGCTGTAAATAAGAACAGGGTTTCAGTGAAGTGCCCTTCACTTTTGGGTGTGGGTGCCAGTAACTTTCTGGCTTTGCCCTGCCTGCTGGGTATGACCATAATGTGAGCTTGTTTTTGAAAGACCTTGTTTTGCAACACTTAGTTTTACAACACTCTAGACCATCTCTGTCTCAGATGAGCAGGTTGGGGTCCAAATACTTTTGGAGGCGAGGGCATATCTGCTGCTCTGCCTTGCTTCAATCTAGCTCTCAAGTAGCAAGGTAAAGCAAGAAAACTGAAGTATGCACATCTGCACTCAAGGAAGGAACTGTGTTTATGGAACCATCTTGAAGTGTGACTTTCCTCTTTGGGAAGCTTTTGTGGGCAGGGGAACAGGGCCATGGGGCTGAGTTTTCAATCCTTATGCCAGAGGAGGGTTGGCATCACTGTTTGGGGCTCTTCTGCCTCCTGTGTTCTGCCTGCCCCATCCCGTGCTGCCCCATCTCAGCCTTTACCCTGTCACCTCCACCTTCCTCATCCCTGTGCCATCCTCTGTCCTCAGCTCCTTCTGCCATGCCTGATCCACCCACATCTTTGTGTACCCATGGAGTTCCATTCTCATCCACACTCATCCCTTCATCCAATCCTTTCACTCAGCCCGTCCCTGGCATCTCTTGGCTGTGATGTCAGGCTTAGCCCACTCTCATGTCCCAAGGGATCCCACCCCTGACCCAGCTCCCATCTTTTCTGCATCAATCCCAGGCCTCATCCTCTTTCACAGGCATGATGCTGTGGGTGGAGGTGGGTGCCTGGACTTACCACTACAGTGATCAAGGGGACTACACGTGGGAGCAGGCCAGGAATTTCTGCCAGACCTTCTTTACTGACCTGGTGGCAATCCAGAACCAGCAGGAGATCGAGTACCTCAACAAGAGCCTTCCCTACCACGGGCGCTACTACTGGATTGGCATCCGCAAGCTGGGCGGCATCTGGACCTGGGTGGGCACTGGGAAGGTGCTGTCCAAGGAGGCAGAGAACTGGGCAGTGGGGGAGCCCAACAACCGCCGCTCCAACCAGGACTGCGTGGAGATCTACATCCAGCGGCCGCAGCAGTCCGGCAAGTGGAATGACGAACCCTGCAACCGGAAGAAGAAGGCGCTGTGCTACCGGGGTGAGCAGGGGGACTGCAGACCAGAGCTGGATTGGGTGGGCTGGGGACCTCGGCAGGGTGCTCAGCAGCTCCTGATGACTGTCCCCTGTGCATGCAGCCTCCTGCCAGCCCTTCCCGTGCAGCCAGCATGGCGAGTGCGTGGAGACCATTGGAAGCTACTACTGTGAGTGCTACCCTGGCTTCCACGGCCCTGAGTGCGCAGATGGTGAGACATCCATCCCCACCCCTCCCTCCCTCCTGGAGAGTCCAAACCCTGGTGACAAAGCAGAGTTCTGGTGCTCCTGATGGGCTGTGGCACTGTATCTTTCCCAGCTGTGCAGTGTGCCAAGCTGGAGCCCAAGGGAGTGCCCATGAACTGCAGCCATCCCTACGGAGACTTCAGCTACAACTCCACCTGTGAGTTCAGGTGCCACGAGGGGTTTGAGCAGCGAGGGGCGGGCATGCTGCAATGCCTGCCTTCCCAGGAGTGGTCAGCAAACATCCCCACCTGCACAGGTAGGGCCTGGCAGGGGCTGGGGCTCTCAGGGACGCAGCACTGATGCTTCAGGGGAACTAGCCCTGTGTGCCCAATGCTGTTCAGACAAGTGTCACTGTGCCCTTACCTATTGTGGAAGCATCTCCTGGTGCTGCACATGGAGTGGGATTCCCTGAGGAGGCTGCAATGGGCAGAGCAGCTGTGAGCTGTGAGGCCCTGTTCTGTCTGGCTGTCCCAGTGCCCATGCTTACTGCCCTGAATTGCACTCAGATATCAGCACCCTGTGTGCACCAAATGTGTGGTCAGGATGGTGTCCTGGCTCCTCTGTGGCAGTGTCTCTCTCCCTTAGCCCACCCTGATCTGCCTTGGGAAGGCATTTGGCGTCTTGGGAAAGAGAAAAGAGGGGCTGCTGTCCCACAGCCAGGGGAAGGGTGTATCCTGGCAGAGGTGGGCCACCTTGGTCAGGGATAAGGACTCATGAAATCAGGTTAGATATAAGCTGGGTGGGACAGAGTGTGGCAGGAAACCACAAAGGAGAGAAAGCTGTGGTATGTTATGCTGCAGGGGCAGAGTAAATCTTCCTGTCAGTGGCTTGAGGGTTTGCAGCTAGGCACCAGGCATCCCAGAGAACTGCCAGGCTTTTTGGGGGGTGCAAGAGCCTTGCTCCACCTTTCCTGTGCTGCTGTGTGGTACAGCTGCAGCCTTGCACAAGGATGGGGTGAGTCGAGCAGACATGGGACACAACTGGGACTGGGAAGGGAGTGGGAAGATCTTTGTGTATATATATTCTTTTTAAAAGAAGCCTGCCTTGAAGTTAGTGGTGCTGCTGCTGCTGCCTGTGCAGGTTGGGCCTGTGGTCCAAGCCAGGACCTTAGGTAGCTGAGACCAGCAAAACTATCTGCAGTTAAGGGGAACAAGCACGGAGATGTGATGTGACTGTTCTGTAACCGGTATCCCCAGCAGGGGCAAGGGCAGGAGATGGCTCCCAATTTTGCAAAAATCCCCACAGACAAGCTGGGCTGAGCCTGTGTGCTCTAGGCTTTTCAGGCTCCCAGGGGCATGCTTTCCCAGCTTGTTGTTTTTTTCCTTCTGGCTGTAATATGATTGATTTTTTTGTTTTATTGCAAACAATCAGATGAGTCAGTTGGTGTCCTGTGCTGATAACAAAATGGTGTTAGCAAGTGTTGCCAGCTGGGCTTACTCCAGAAATGAGCAGAGCAAGGCTGCAAGCAAGGCTGGTGGTGCAGCAAGGACTGTGCAGGGCAAGGCTGCCTGACCTGCCTCAAACTCTGCCCCATGCCTGCCTGCAGCCATTGTGTGCCCATTGCTGGCTGCCCCACAAAGGGGCTGGGTCAGCTGCTCCCACCCGCACAGCATGTTCACCAACAGGCATCTCTGGGGACTGGGAAACCAGAATTGCTTGTAAAATAGCTACAAAAGGAAAAGTCTCCCCAGGAAAGTGCTTGGTGTCAGTTTGAAAGCAGAAAATGCAGTGAATGCAGTCTGTCTCAGCTGGGCTGGGTGGTGGTAGTACCCTGCTGGCACTGACCTTCGGTGCTCCCACAGGCAGCAGAGCCACTCACCCCAGAAAACCTTGGGTATCACTGTGGCATGCAGAAAAACACACCCTGGGAGGCTGGTACACAACCTCTTTAGCCATTGCAGTGCTTTACAGTCCCAAAGCCATCCTCCTGCCACTGTGACAACGACAGAGGCTGGTCTCTGCTCCAGTAAAAGGAGGGAGATGAATGGGACTGCAGCAGCTGTGGTCCTTCCTCGCAGGGGCTTTGGTCCAGGGTAGTGAAAGGGATAAACAGGGCTCTGGCAGAGCAGCAACTGTGTCTCCATGAAGAAATCACTTGTAGGGCAGAAAAATCATTGCACCAACTACAGTGTCCAAGAGATGAGTATGGGTAAGATTTGATTTGGATTCAGCCTGAATTATTAGATTTAATCTCATCTATCCCATCTCTGAGCTCTGCTCTCCCATTGCAGCCGTCACCTGCCCCGTGCTCAGAGCTCCAGACCACGGAGAGCTGAACTGCTCCCACCTCCATGGGGACTTCACCTTTGGCTCCACATGTGCCTTCTCCTGCCAGAAGGGGTTTGTGCTGATGGGGCCGGAGAGCCGTGAGTGCACAGCCCTGGGGACCTGGACAGGGGATGCTCCACGCTGTGAAGGTAGAGCTGCTGCTAGAACTTAGGGTGTCACTGCCTGTGGGGTGACTCTAGGGTTTCCCCAGTCTCTCAGACCAAACAGCTTAGCCTGGTAGTTCCCAGCTTCCTCCTTGAATTGTTTCTATGTCCCTGCAGCCATTGCCTGTCCAGTGCTCGGTGCTCCAGAAAAAGGAGAGCTGAACTGCTCCCACCTCCATGGCAACTTCACCTTTGGCTCCACGTGTGTCTTCTCCTGCCAGACAGGATTTGCCTTGGTGGGGCTGCCGAGCTATGAGTGCATAGCCACAGGAATCTGGACAGGGGATGCCCCACGCTGTGAAGGTAGAGCTGCTGCTCAAGGTGTCACAGGCCTTGGGCAGACTCTGGGATGTTTGTTCTCTTTTTAGTTCTCTCATCACAAGAATTCAGCCTCATAGTCCCCAAGCTGCTGCCTGAAGTGTGCTTTTTTGCCCTGCAGCCATCGCCTGTCCAGTGCTCAGTGCACCTGACCAGGGAGAGATGAACTGCTCCCACCTCCATGGCAACTTCACCTATGGATCCATGTGTGTCTTCTCCTGCCAGACAGGATTTGCCTTGGTGGGGCTGCCGAGCTTTGAGTGCACAGCCCTGGGGACCTGGACTGGGGACACACCACACTGTGAAGGTATTGCTGCTGCTGAAGGTGTCACAGGCCTTTTGTGAGCATGGGAGGTTTGCTAGAGGACCCTCTTGGTCCTGGTCTTTCAACAGTCTAGCCTTGAAGTACCCACTTTTCAGCTTGAAAATGTTTCTCTGTCCTTGCAGCCATCACCTGCCCAGTGCTCAGAGCTCCAGACCAGGGAGAGCTGAACTGCTCCCACCTCCATGGGGACTTCACCTTTGGCTCCACGTGTGCCTTCTCCTGCCATAAGGGGTTTGTGCTGATGGGGTCAGACATTCACAAGTGCACAGCCCTGGGGACGTGGACAGGGGATGCCCCACGCTGTGAAGGTAGAGCTACTGCCACAGCTCAGGGTGTCACTATGTGGGGTTACTCTATGATGTGTCCCCTGCCCCTTGTTCCCAACAGTATAGTCTCCCCGGCTCCTTTCTGAGCTGTGCCTCTTTACCCTTGCAGCCATCAAATGCTCAGCACTGACTACCCCCAAGATGGGCCAGGCTGCCTGCTCCCACCTCCATGGGGAATTCACCTTTGGCTCCACGTGTGCCTTCTCCTGCCAGAAGGGGTTTGTGCTGATGGGGCCGGAGAGCCGTGAGTGCACAGCCCTGGGGACCTGGACTGGGGACCCCACACATTGCAAAGGTAAAAATCCTGTGATCTCACACATGTCTGGGAGGGCTCTGTTGTAGCAGAGTGCTCTCCCCAGCACCCTGGGCTATGTCAGTTCATCCCCTGGCTTGCCAGCCCACATGTTCCCATCTCACTGCTATCAGTCCTGTCCTCTTGATGCTCCTGCTGTGCTTTATCTGCAGCCATCAGCTGCCCAGAGCTGTCCCCCCCCAGCAGAGGCCAGCTGAGCTGCTCTCATGTGCACGGGAACTTCACCTACAACTCCACGTGCACCTTTTCCTGTGCGGAGGGGTTTGTTCGGGTGGGAGCAGAGATGCTCCGGTGTGAGGCCTCGGGGAACTGGACCAGGGATCCCCCTGTCTGTGCAGGTACAGTGGGACCCCCCAGCTCCTGCAGCACTGCAGAGCTTCCAGCTTTCCTCCAAGCACATCTTGAATGTGGTGCAGGGGGACTCCCCAGGGGCTGCGAAGTGACAACTTTCTAATGCATGGCTCTGTGGGTTTTTTTCAGAGGATAGTGCCTTCCTAAAGCAAGTCCTGGCTTACAGCAGCGGCACAGCCCTGGCAGTAGCTGGTCTTGTGCTCTCTGGGGGGCTCATTGCCCTTCTTGCGAAGAGGCTCAGTGACAGAGGTACAGAAATGCTTCCTGCAGCCCACCCTAACTTTGGCCAGGGCTCTCAGGCAAGGTGATGAAAGTCCCAGGGGAGGCTGAGGTGATCAGAAGAGTTTAACAGTGTGACTGCCTCCATTTACATGTTTTATTTGCTGAGTTGCTTGGGTCCTTGGCAGCTGGTCCAGCTGAAAATGTCAGCAGCCAGGTTTGGAGGGCAGAGCCAGATAAATACCATCACCCTGAAGAAGGCAGCAAATGCTTGTTAAGGCAGCTCCACTTCATGCCTGTTAAACTCCAGTCAATTCAGATGCTGCTGCTGCAGCTTCTTGTGACCTTCACTAAACAGATCTGGTTATTTCTTTTCTATGTGCTTTATCGCCATGGACATTTCAACACTGTTATCAGAGGAGAAGAAGAAGCTCCTGAAACCCACAAGGTGAGAGCTGTGCTGTGCAGGAGGGTGGCTCTGCCCTGTGATTGTCACAGCCCTATGTCCGCCCTGCTGACACCCAGATCTGCCTGTGTGAGGCTGGTTTTCTACAGGAGCATCTCTGGGGCTGACAGGGCTGTGCTAACCCCTGGCCTTCACAAACTCCTGCACTCCCCAAGGTGACATCCTTGTGTTTGCCTTCCAGTGACCTGGGAGCACCAGGAACCTTCACCAATGCAGCATATGATGCCAACCTGTGAGGTGAGGGTGGCAAGACCCTCGCAGCACCCTGTTCAAAACTCACCTGGCTGGCCTTCTTCCTGGCTGGGGTGCTCCTGGCTGGGGACACCCCTTGGGACTGAAGTGGGTAACACCAGCTCCATCTCTCCTGTGCTTCCGGCCTGCCTGAGACTGAAACCCGCCATGTCCCCCAAGGCTGCAGGCCCAGCAGGAGCTGCTGCGGGAGCACAGGGGGACTCCATGCCTGTGGTTGTAGCCTGGACCAGAGCTGCCCCTGGACACTGCCGCCATGCTGTGTGTGCAGCATTCCCCTGGGAAGGGGAGCTGCTTCCAGTGCAGGCAGCTGGAGACCCACCAGGGGCCAAGAGCCACATGCTGGGGGCAGCCTGCCACCCAGCCCTGGGACATTCTCCCCCTGGGAATTGGGACGTTCCCCAATAGCTGCTCCACTCATGCTTTCACCAATGAGCTTGTGTCATCGGGGTCTGAATAAACACCTTTGTCTAACTAATGCCTCTTGTGTGCCTGGGGCAGGGGGAAGTTTTCATTAAATAATGTAGTCAACAACTAAGAAAGTGATTCTTCCCCTGGACTTGGCACTGGTGAGGCCACTTCTGGAGTGCTGTGTCTGGTTTGGGGCCCCTCAGTTCAGGAAGGACAATGAAGTGTTGGAGTGTGTCCAGAGAGGCTGGTGAAGGAGCTGGAGCCCAAGTCGGATGAGGAGCGGCCGAGGGAGCTGGGGTTGTTTAGCCTGGTAACCAGGGGTGGTTTGTCCTCTTCTCACAGGTTAGTTCTGAGAGGACAAGAGGACACAGCCTTAAGCTGTGCCAGGGGAGGTTCAGGTTGGACATTGACAGGAATTTCTACACAGAAAGGGTGACGGGACACTGGGAGGGGCTGCCCTGGGAGGTGGTGGAGTCCCCGCCCCTGGAGGTGTTTAAGGACTGGACACGGCCCTCAGTGCCATGGTCTGGGTGGCAAGGTGCTGCGGGGTCATGGGCTGGACTCGCTGATCTCAGAGCTCTTTCCCAACCCAACTGAAGCTGTGATTCTCTGCGGAGCTCGGAGCGCGTACAGCGACCGTGCGAGCCCGTGCTGCCTCCGCCGCCCGCAGATTGTCCGCCGGCGGCCGCCGTGGCGGGCGGGTCCGGCCCAGCCGGAAGCAGACGTGTGTTTCGGGAGGAACGGGAAGCGATGGCGGCGGCCGAGGCTGAGTGGGAGCCGGCGGGGTTGCTGCCCGCGCCGGGGGGCGGCCTGGACTGGGGTGAGCGCGGCTTCGGGGAGCTGGGGCCGGCACGGCACGAAGCTCTCCGGCGGGGCCGGGCCGGGCCGGGCCGGGCCGGCGCTGAGCCCGTTTTCTCTCCGCAGAGGCTGTGCTGGGCGAGGAGCTGAGCGAGCTGCTGGGCGCCGCGGCCCCGAAGGACGAGCCCGACGTGAGTAGCGGGGATGGCAGGGGCCGGGTCCGCGCTCTGCCGGCGGTGAGAGCCCGGCCCGGCCCGGGAGGCCTCGGAGCAGCCTGGCCGGAGAGCGCGGCCGCCCGGCCCGCGCCCCGCGTCAGCGCTGGGGGCACCGGGGGCTGAAGCGCTGCGGGGCTCGGCTGCGGGGCGGAGGTGCCAGCAGCGAGGCTGGGGTGACGGTGCGGGTGCCGACGGGGAGGAGTGGCGTTGTCACTGCCTCGGTGAAGGTGAACCCGCCGGGCAGTGCTGGGGGAGCGCTGGCTCAGGGCTGCCTGAGAGAACGGTGGGTATGTTACACCTGCATCCACCCGGACTCTTCTTTAGCCCTCTGCCTGTTAGATTACTTCTTGGTTTCTTCTTTAATGTAGGATTTTCTCAAAATCCTTTGCTGGTAACCTTCTGCATTAATTCCTGTCATTTTCACTGCCCACTTGTCCATACTGCTTTTTCTCTCCCGGGGCATTTACCTCGTGGATTCTCTTCTCCATGTTCTTCCCCTGCTCTGCTGGCTGTGTCCCAATCCACCTCCAGCACAAGCCTGGGTTATCATCTCATGTAAACCCCTTGTCCTAAGAGCATTCGTGCATGTGCAGAACCAGTCACTGGAGAAAATGTGGGAACAGACTGATTGTACAGGGGAAAGGTATTCCTTGTTAGCAGGTCAGCATTACTTGCTTGGGTGAGGGCTCTAAATGCACAGCTCACATTGTGGTTTTTTGGTCATTCTTCCTTTAAATGTGCTCTGATGAGCTTTCTTTTCGTTCTAATTGCAAGTACCAATATCCATGCAGTTTGCAGGCTTTTTGAGCCTCCCTTTGCAGGGCAAGTTGAGAGTCTAAGGGAAGGTATAATTGCAGTATGGTTTTCAGGAAAGTCTTTGTTGTATATTTGTATGAGCTGGGTAGGTCACGTTTGTATTTTTCATGCAAGTGCTCATAAAGGGCCATATTTGTGTAGGAAACTGAGACTTAGAGATGCACAAGCAGGATAAATGGAGAAAAATGCCAGTTGTTATTTTAAAGGTCATATGATAAGTAATATGTATGGAGTGATTTTAGCCTGTTTTGATTTTTGTTGGAAAAGGAAACTGATGTTCTTGGCTTTAGGTGTTGACATCACTGTGTTCAGGTATAGGGAGACCTAACACATACCATTAATCAGGTCTTGGGCAAATCAGTCTTGTGTCTGTTTTCCTGCTGGTAAACTGTCCCTGGTGCTGCTTTTGTTTGTAAAGTGCTTTGAGATGTAATGGTGGAAGAGCATTAAATAAATTTTTCAAGGCAGATGAAGGAAAGGATGGCACCAGGTTCCTAAGACTTGTGTTTTTTGTGAGATGGTTCAATGAACTTAGAACTTTTGCTTTGCAAATTACGAAGAAGAGTACAATAATTAGTGATGATCTTAAACTGACCTGCCCCTTCCTACTGGTGTAAGTTTAAAAGAAGCCTTGTTTTGTATTTCAGTTGAGAATTTCTCCTTTAAGGACTTTCATCTCTGCATATCTTTAAGGCACCTGAAGTGATTGATAGTTACGCTGTTTGTTTTGTTTTCTGGAGCTGTAAGAATGTGAACATAATGGCTGATGGTGTGAACGTGTCTTTCTTTTTGTCTTGTCTTTTTTTCTGAATTTCATTTCAGGAAAATGATCTCTATAACTTTCATTTTGATTTGGATTTGATGTCTTGGGACTCGGACCTTTGGAATATTACAGGCCATGCTTATGCAGGTAATTAACCTCCTGTATTTTGCAGCTGTTGCTCTTCCCCTCCTGCCCCACAAGGGTGAGCTCTTAAAACTCATGTGGAACTGTTTGATGCCCTACAGCCTTTTGCTCTGTGATGGGAATTAGGCTGTGTTTCTGTAGGAGATGGGTACAGCTGGCAAGGGCTGCCCTATGAGCCAAGCTGTATAATAGCTTAAATCTCCCTACATTTTCTGCTGTGCCTTGCTTTGGGAATTAAATATCTGGTGTAGGACAGTGTGTTCTTTACTTTTCCCATTGCTACAAACGTGTGCAGTGAAATGTCTTTCCCTGCCTCTTGCAGATGCGAATGTGAAGACAGAACCTTTATCACCAGCCACTTCCAGCTGTTCGGTCCCTTCACCACCGTCTGTGGACTCTCCAGTGCAGAATGTGCCTGTATGCAAACCCCGCCATGTAACACAGCAACAGCTCTGACAAACCAAAAGCCCTGTGATTTTCTCCTCTGACCAAATTCATGGCATAAGAGGAAACAGCTTATTTTCCCAACCCTTGCAAAAACCCATCAGTGGTGTTTTCTTATCTCTTCTCTGTGACCCATTCAAATAAGAACATGTTCAGCTCTCTTTCCTCAACTATGTTCATTAGCTTTGTTGCCAAACAAAATGTCTTCTAAAGGCTTCTGGGTCAAGCAGTTTGGTCTGTGCCTCCCATTGCTCTGCTGATGGGGACAAGTACTTGTTTTTTTTTTTAGTGGTACTTGGCATTGGCCAGAATTAAATTGCAGAGTAAAACCTTTCTCCTGTTGGCTGCAGCAGCAACACAGATGTGATGAGAAGCAGATATGCTCTGAACTGTTGGTAGATACTGCTCTGAGTTTCTCCTGTTAAGTGTTAATCTCCTGTGCTTTCTGTCTGCAGGATGATGTGGACTTCAGCTGTAGCTCCCAGATGTCTCCCATCTCTCTCTACAGCAAGAGCTGCAGAAGCCCTGCATCCCCTGAAGGAGATGGAGGGAAGAAGCCTGCTGTGAGCATCTCTTCTCGGTCTGGTATGAGAGAAAAAGTTACTTTTATCCTATAGATAATGTGTGTTGTCTTGCATCCAAATTAATGCTATTAATTAACAGACACTAGATGTCCTATCATTTTTGACTTGGATATTTGATCAGATGTGTTTAGTTTCAACAAATATTATAGAGGGATAAAAAAACCCCACATTAAAAGCTACTTCATTATTGCTTGAATTATGTATTTTATGCCTCTTGGTCCAGTTCTGATTCTTTCCTTTTCTAGCAAATAATTCTGTGAGGAGCCTGAAGAAGTGTGGTCAGACAGTGTCCAGGCCTTTGATACAACCCAAACCCCTTTTGCCTGCTGTGCCTGAAGCTCAGGCTAACATTGGCATCCCAGCTAAAACCATCATTATTCAGACTCTTCCCACGCTTGTGCCACTGCCAAAGAATCAGCCAGTTGTTAACATCCAGCCAGCACCTCCTAAAGGTAGGTGAATTGTCTTGACTGGGCCAGGTCGTGTTGGTAGCATTGTCTGTTTGGGATGGCTGATAGAATGGAGTTAGGTTTGGTGTGTGAAAGAGGAGGAATAGGAGAAAAAAGGGTTCTACGTGCATTGCTGGAAAAGCTTTAGGTTGAGAAGATGGCCTTACTCCTCTTGTCCTGTCCTTTGAGAAACAGCACTCAAGTGGGCATGGTGTAAAATGGAAGACTGGATTATATAATTCCATTATTTGGAATGGAAGACAGAAGCTGTGCTGAACACTGGCAGCTGTTGACATAAAACTGCTGATTTGGAAGGATCTATAGGGATGCTTTGCTTTGCTTGCAGTGTCAGGTGGTGCATAAGGGGATTACAGTGCTGTTCTGTCATAACTGAAGAAAGATCCAGTAGAATTAGTTAGGATGGCTTGAAGGAATCTGGAAAGCTTGGGGGAAGTGATAGAAGCATTTTTTTTACTCACATGAAACTTCCACAGGATGGAGGGAGCATGGGTTTATGGCTTTTTAATTCACTAAACAGCATTAAATAGAATGTTGTGAAATCTGCTAAAAATTGAGAGCTGTGTCAAAGATTAGAAAAGTTGCTGATGTTAACGAGGAAAGTGACTACCTGCTCCAGGATAATTCTTCATTGCTTCAGTTACCCTGTTACTGATTTTTGAAGTAGCTCGAGCTTTCGTTTCTGGATCCAGAGCATTGTTTCACTCTCCAGCTGGGGCAGGAGGGACACTGCTTACCTTGCAGCACTTGCCAGCTGCAGTTGCTCGTTTCACCAGCTGATGGCCACAGTCCCTTGCAGTTGATTTCACAGACACTGAGGCACGGAAGGAAA